TCCTCCTCCCCCACTATATCTATCACTCCTACTATACACCACCTCATCCTCCCACTACCATATCCTACCCTCACTATATCTACCCTCCTACCTCCCCCCCCCCCCCCCATAGATTTTTACCCTTCTACTATATAGATTCTACTATAGATTCTATTATAGAATCTAAATAGTATAAGAGTAAAATAAATATGATTTTTGTAATATAAGAGTAATATAATTTACTTTTAATAGTATGAGAGTAAATTATCGTAATTATTAATACTCGAACCGAAAATTATATATAAAGAAACAAGCTAGCAATATAATAGTTATGTTAATTTTTTGCTTATATAATCGAGTATATATCTTTTAGAATTTTGCCGAATATATATATAGATTATAGTCAATTTTTAGAAAAAAGAAAAACTAAAGTAGCTCTTACTAGTAACTCTAAAAGACTATACTAGTAGCAAAGCTTATATAATATCTCTGATTATAAACAAATTAAAAGCCCGAGTACAAAAGTTATTTATTGACCTCCTTTGAATATCTATATGTCTCCTATTACTATACTACTATCATCAGCTACCGCTCCCTTAGATTTTTGAGATATCAATATTTATTATCTTAACTATTAGTAGCAGCCAATAATTGTTGTCTCAACCTCTCATCCGCCCCCATCTCTTGCATTTCCAAACTCTCTTGATTATTTTCCACCTGTTGTTGTTCATCTTTTCCAGGTTCCTCAATTTGTAATCTTTCCGGGCTATTACTTGCACTCTTGTAATCTTCGGCGGGCTCCGGGGTTTGTTGATAGAGACTCCCGCTTCCGTTCTCCTGATTTGAATTTTGCATACCTCCAGCCAATGCCATAACTCCATGAAATCTCGCGCTCTCTTCATTTCCTGCCAGTCTTGCTCTCTCTTCCGCTTCTTTCCTGGCCGCTTGAGTAGGTGCCCTAGTCTTCAATTCGCCAGTCACACATTGGAGATAGTATGGTACTTCGATATTGCTCTTGAGGAAGAATAGTTTCAAATTTCGTGCTTTGTCTTTAAGTTGAACTTGATTCCTATCACGTAAGATGGTGCTGACCGATCCTTTGTCGCCATAGAGAGCTAGAATTTGACTCCAGTGGGGGCCTTTGACTGAATCGAGACCAGCCATTAATGCATTCTCCTCCTCTGTACTCCATGGACGACGTTGAGATGGTAATCCAGGTCTGGCTTTCTGTCCCGGGTTATTCTTGGCAGCTGCAGCTTGTCTAGCCTTTTCGTAAAGAGCGGAAGTCGACTCTGATTGAGAATGGTGTGGTGTGGGTGTGGGTGCATTACTACTATTACTACTAGTAGTATATTGATTTGAGTAGGTGTTTGGTGGTTGATTAGATTGTTGATAGGTAGTTTGGTATTGAGCTTGGCGATATCCTTTGTAAAAAATCAGCCAGATGCTTTTAAAACATATTTTATACAATCATACCAGTTTGCGCACTATTCGATTGCTGATATATGCCAGCCTCTTCAGGAGCCTTCTGAGCTGAACTCTCGGCTTCGGTGTTGGTAGCAGTGTATGCAAGAGCATTGCAATTCAATGGACCGCCAGTTGTACCTTGCGAATACCCAGTCGAAGTGGGGACCGTGAGTTTATACTTATCCATATAAGGTTCAACCAACGGCCTGTATGCGTCCATATGAATATGCGTAGATCTTAGAAAAGAATCCCAGTTGAAAAGGTCACCGAGTTCCTCTGCAGATTTGTCAGTGTGTGTGAGAAGCAAATGCGTGGCGAATCCTTACTTATTTTGACGGGATCATTTCCTTGGTTGAATAAATATACCCTTCGGATGTCTAAATCAATGAGTAATTGTTTCTCATCTTGGGTGAGAGAAAACGAATGCCTCTGAGCCAAAAGTGGACCGAAATCTGCGGGAAATATATCTTGTATGAGGTCCTCGACAGGTTTATCTGACTCTTCCATCGATAACGCCGCAACAATGATTTGTGTCTTCAAGTTCATGAGCAATTGGCCGGATGCTTTCGAAATTCCCTCTCCTTCCCGTGTCCAGGTGTCGACGAAATATTCATTAAGTTCATAAAATCCAACTTCTTGTCCACCAAACACGCTACTTACGAAAGTCGCATGGTTTGCGAGTCTGATAATCTCTCGTTGAGCTGGGTCTCTAAGATTGAGTGCGTCGGCGGAGAGGAAAGTTGAGCTTCCATAAATCTTTTTGGTTCTATCGAAAAGGTCCTTCAAGGTTTGGAATGCTTGTCCACGAATTGTATCTGTCTTGGTAACCATGGTGACCACATCTTCGAATCCTCCTTCGGAAAGAATGTTTAACATTTGCAACGACTGTCAATATATTAGAGCTGTCTATATCATTTGACCTTGCAGATATCCATACCATACTTTCCAAAGCCAGTAGACTCAACACCTGCAAAGACAATTGATGATCAGAAAGAAGTCGGTCATAGGACGCCGGGCTGTTGGGTGGTTGAATTTGAGGATGAGGAGCTTGGGTGGCAGAAGCTGTGCTAAGGGCTCTCTGGTGTGACTGATCTTCATGAGAAGGTTGATTGTCCATTCCCATACTTCCTGCATCTTGATATTCCGCAGAGACATGAGCAACCGCGCCGGCAATAATAGCATCAAGATCGAAATCTCCCAAAGGATCATCTACGTCATTTGTAGGTTGCGGGGCGACATTTTCATCAGTAGATTCGGGTAGGGAAGGAGGTTGTGGTGCTTCGGATTCAATTCTCTGCCTCTTTTCTGGCGGATCCATTTGTTCTGAGGATACTCTTCGTTTCAATCCAGGTGATTGAGGTGATATCGATGTAGTTTGAGGAGCTTCGAGTTTGATTCGAACATCTGCAAGGACTAATTGTTAGAATAACGGTAGTTAAGAATGGAGAATTGAGATAACAGTTCCATCCTGCCTTCCAGCAAGCAAGTCTCCCTCATTGTATTCTCTCTCCATAAACTTACCATCATCTGATGAAGCCATAATGAATGAGTTGGTAGATAATTCTGCCATCGTTGAAGTCGCGTGAAGGTGTAGAGAAGAATCCCCTGTGTAAGAAGGTTGTGAAATTAATTCTGTGGGCGCTACAGAGAATTTCAAATTCCCACCGCACCAGATCCAACCAAGCGTCATAAACTATCTTGCTTAGTCAGATTTTTAGCCCTGATCTCTGAACCTCAATCAGAAGCCCCGACCCTGAGCGAGTAGATACACAGAAGAAAGCCGAGAAATGAAAGTTGAGAAAATTATTTGGTCAATGTCAATATTCGAAAAAAAATAAGGATGAAAGTGAGGAGAAGAAGAAGGGATAGAGGAATAGAGGAACTAATTGTTGAATTTTCTCACGAATCAATATTGAAGATATCAATACATTTCTCTTCATATTTTGGGTAAGGTTATTCTGATATGAAGTTAACAATTGCCCAAAGAAGAAGGCATGTTATGGGAAAATAAGAATAAATCGAACAAGGTGGTTGTTGTCGATGCAGTTCATTAGTATGTAGTATGTAATATGAAGCAATGATAGCAATGATGATAACCTCTTAATAAAAGCAGGTAGGTAGATAGATTATTGAGATCATGGAAAATATGTATACAGAATATGATTTATTGAATAACCTTACCTCCCCTCGTTCTTTTCCCCCTTTTGCTAACCGGAAAGTTGAGGAGGAGTTATCAGAACCAAAAAGGCATCGATCAGTACCATCAATATTCACCTAAAATTCGATCTCATGTTTATGTTCTGGTATATAAGTTGGTCAATTCAATCTTTCTCCTTCCTGTCCCCAGGCCCCTCACTACTCGAGTATATTCCCCAACGTTTTCCTATATTTCAGATATACCTAGGTAAGCTACAAATAATTTGAGAGTCGAAATATATATACATTTGAGTTTGTTCCATGAAGAAACTTTCGCAAATATAATTGAAAGTTCTCAATACTTGTACATATCCATACCTTCTTGACAGCAGTACAGTAACTTTATAACTTGAATCTTTACCATTTACTTAGTAATTACCTTCTATATCAATGTTCCATCTCAGCCACTACCGGTACTACCATTCTGTTTGAGACATTATCCTCTCCTCTATCTCTATTAGAAAGTTGTGCTCCAAACCCATTCTGAGGTTTCCTCGACTCGCTACTCTACATCTTAAAGAGCGCCAGTTAACGGTCAACCCCCCATTTTGTAAGGTTGTAATCTTACAAGGGAGGGATCCAATTGATCATTGAGAGGTAGGTATATGAAATGTCACCAAGATACTCGTACAAACACAGAACTCCTCATTGAGACGAAAAGACTAAAACATGGCCGAATTGCGTGGAAGGTCTGAAGGTCTGATACACAAAGGGGGACTTGAATCGACAAAAGCACAATTAGGAAGTGAGTTAGCATTGAATAGTTGAGTTGAGCTCAAAATTCATGCAAGTAATAAAGTGTTTAGCATAATACTCGAGTATATACTTGACGTCCTTGCTTTTGATATCTCTTTGATGGATCAGAACACAACTTGTATGTACGATATGTCGAGCTCAATGTCCACAATTTAACCTGTAGGGAAAGGGAAAGGCATTTTCGGTCTGAGAGGAAGGTGAGGGGGGGGGGGGGATGTACAAGTTGATGCGCAATGCATTCATCATTTCACGGATCAACAATACATTGATCAGAATTATAAACCTACACAAGTAGGTAGTCCAATAATGTCATTGCGCAGATATTCCGCTACCCCATGACCCCAGGTATGGGAAAACGCTTTGATTCTCTTCTACCCGTATATTTGAACATCCAATATATATTATTACTTGGACATAAAATGGTGGGGGTTTCATTGCGCAACTTTTTCGGTGATAAGGAGAACTTTAGAGTTTTACTCTACTCATGTTCTCTCCATGATAGAACTTCTCACAGACTTTCCAGACTCAATGTTTTGATACTCTTGGACCCAGATCGATCATACCCAGCAGGTGTGTTAAATAATCTCTCGTGGCGTTCTAAGCTAATGCTAAGAAACAATCTGCGGAGATAGATAGATAAGCTCATAATTTCATGGTGGGGTAACCTTAGGTAGTTCTCCGTTCGTTTTATAATAAAGTTATTGGGGGGATTGATGATTGATTCCCCAGTCCCAACTTTTCTATCATCTTTGAATATTTATATATTTATCCCCGATTTTTAGACGTTTTTATCGGCGATAGATGTCCAAAATGTTGATAATATTAGGAAAAGAAGTAAGGGAGTTATACCAAGGTTACCTACCCATAAGTGGATTATCGATAGTGGGGTTATCTTGGAAAAGTTGTAACTTGTACTTGTACTCGGTATTGACCCGATTGACCCGATTGACCGAGAAATAATAAATGATAAATGCTGAGTATGAATAAGTATATTATAAGAATTACCCAATAGATAATGATACTCTCAAGATTATATACTCGAGTATATATTTATCTATCTCCGAAAACCTTTAATCCGATAAAATGCATTCGGAGGTAGACCTTCCATTTTCGCTCAAGGTACCCGGCACTATGTAGGAGCAGGACCTAGAGCTTCTACGAATGAGGGGTAATATATATCCACTTGTCTTTTGATACTGACTGACTAGTACTAGAGTGACAGATCAGTGGATCACCACTTACCAATCAAGAGGCATATATGAAGCATATAACTTTGGGATGATTAGGTGATTGGGTGATATACTTTGTATTTACGGAGTACGGACTGAATGGATACTTTCAATCCCGCCGAGATGGATTACTAGGTGGATTCAAGAGAGACAAAGAGCAACCCACCTAATGAAGTTCTATATTCTCTCAGCCTCTTTCTTTGAAGCTGCTTTGAAGAGATAACATCATCTACCGAGTTTACATCATTTTGTATCTCAAATCATAGCAATGCACCTGATAGGCTCTAAAGAGGGAAGATATATACTGAGTAATGATGATGGCGATCTTGATGTACAGTACCGTATCTTATTAGAATCTATCTACCTACTTGGTACTGGTACTGATACTGTACTCCCTCCCCGGTCTTTGCCCCCCCTCCCCCCTGTTACTATACTCCTTCTCGTAAACGTTACAGCTCCACACAAGCTTAAGCTACCTAGTATCTTCTCCTGAGTCTTGTTCACTTGCCCAGGAACTACTAGACTCATAGTCTCATACATCCTGTATCTCTATAACAAATAATCCTTAGCTAACACCAAAATATCCACTCCACGTCTCACTGTGACAACCTTGGAACGTACGAATACCCAATGATTGGTGCCAACAGCCCCCCCTTTCCCCTTCCCTTCAAGGTTTCTTTCGGATTTTAGACTTAGTTTGATCTGCGTTCGATCATTCGACTTGAAGGGAGGGAGAGAGGGGGGGCGAGCGTTCACCATTACTTAAAACCTTCATTACCCGACCCCTCATCATCTTCTTTATTTATTTCACTCTTCTTCATATCTTGATACAATCCAATTCACACTCCACAACAATTATACCCCAACAAGCCAACAAGATTACTTTTCATCCAACTCACAAATACATCAAACATATACCCATCATGACTTCAGTTCAACTCAAGACGGCACTTACTGGCGAATATACTCAACCCACAGGATTGTATGTTGTTATCCTCAAATCCCTCATACATTTTACCCCGCATCCTCATCCTCACCCCACATGTTGGGGGGGACACAGTAACAAAAACTAATCAGATCTTTCTTCAACAATAGGTTCATCAACAATGAATGGGTTAAAAGTGTTGACGGAAAGACTTTTGAAGTCATCAACCCTGCCACTGAAGAAGTCATCACATCCGTACACGAAGCCACCGAAAAAGATGTCGATGTCGCTGTCGCAGCTGCACGTAAAGCATTTGAAGGAGAATGGAAGCATGTTACACCGGAAGCTCGTGGCAGATTACTTGTCAAGTTGGCAGATTTGGTGGAGAAGAATGCCGATTTGTTGGCAGCTGTCGAATCTTTAGATAATGGAAAGGCAATTTCAATGGCGAAGGGCGATGTCGCCGCGGTATCTGCATGCTTGAGATACTATGGTGGATGGGCAGATAAAATTGAAGGAAAGGTCATTGATACCGACCCAGAATACTTCACATACACAAAACAAGAGCCAGTATGTTGTCCTTCCATTGCGATATATGCTTCGATTGCTAATACTTCTCTAGATTGGTGTCTGTGGTCAAATCATTCCATGGAACTTTCCGTTGCTTATGTGGTCATGGAAGATCGCTCCCGCCGTCGCAACTGGTAATACCGTCGTTCTAAAAACTGCCGAACAAACTCCTCTCTCCGCCCTTGTTGCCGCAAACTTAATCAAGGAAGCTGGTTTCCCACCAGGAGTCATCAATATCATCTCCGGTTTCGGAAAGACTGCTGGAGCCGCCATCGCAGCTCATATGGACGTTGATAAGATCGCTTTCACTGGTTCTACCCCTGTTGGTCGTCAAATTATGAAGGCCGCTGCTGGATCCAACTTGAAGAAGGTCACCCTTGAACTTGGAGGTAAATCACCAAACATCGTCTTTAACGATGCTGATATTGAGAATGCCATCTCATGGGTCAACTTTGGTATCTTCTTCAACCACGGTCAAGTTTGCTGTGCTGGTTCAAGAGTTTACGTTCAAGAAGGTATCTATGACAAATTCATTGAGAGATTCAAGGCTCGTGCCCTTGCCAACAAGGTTGGAGATCCATCCCACCACGAAACTTTCCAAGGTCCACAAGTTTCCCAACTGCAATTTGACCGCATTATGGGTTATATTGATGACGGTAAGAAATCTGGTGCCACTATTGTCACAGGTGGTGAAAGACATGGAGACAAGGGATACTTCATTCAACCCACGATTTTCTCTGATGTTACCGAAGACATGAAGATTATGCAAGAGGAAATCTTTGGACCCGTTTGCTCCATCGCCAAATTTACTACTGAGGAGGAAATCATCAAGATCAGTAACGGCTCCAACTATGGTCTTGCCTCTGGCATTCATACACAAAATCTTAACACTGCTCTTCGTGTATCGAATGCTCTCAAGGCAGGTACAGTCTGGGTTAACTGCTACAACATGCTTCACCACCAAGTACCATTCGGTGGATACAAGGAGTCTGGTATTGGACGTGAGTTGGGCGAGGCAGCTTTGTCAAACTACACACAAACCAAATCTGTGAGAATCAGATTGGGTGATGCACTTTTCGGTTAAGGGTTTATTGATGAGCAAATGGGGTTTCAAGTTGTACATTTTTGGGGGATTTATGGCGATTCAAGTCTGGGTTTTCGGTTCTTCGGTAGTGCTAGCGTTTATGAATGAAATTATATATACATGAAATAAATATATCTTTTTTCCTGCTTCTCAATAGGATACAAAAAGTCTTTGGATATAATTTCCTAGCATATTATCTGTACAATTAATGTGACTGACGCTGATGTGACTGACGCCAATGTGATGAACGAAATAATGCTTTCTTCTTTTTCTCTTTCCTTCACAGTATCAATAGTTTGAAACGATTTATCAATTTATATGAGTCCTTGAAGTCAAGAAGATGCGATACCTGGCAAGGAAGGTTTGAGGGAGCTCCCACCTCATCAACAAAAGCTCATCCGAACTTTGAGAGACATACCTAGGAGGCATACCTACCTAGGTAAAGTCCCGAGGTCCTTATATGTAATGCATGGTTATTGATAAAGCTTCTCGATCATTTCTATGATCTTGAGGGGTATACAGTAAAGTCATAGATAGGTATATATTCATATTATATTCTTTTTACTATTTATTTTCTAATAATTTAATCTTATATACACTATCAACCAGCTATACTCGAGTAAGATAAAATCTTTGATTCAAAATCATAGAGAATTAATGACCTCCTCAGGACTTTTAACATCTACATTACTGATGACGTCAAGTCAAGTCAAGCGATAAGGGATTGATTGGTACAAGCATTCATGCTCATATATATATGCTCCTCATGTGCCAAGCATGCAGATAGCCACCACAACGTCTTTAATAAGCAAGGTGCAGAAGTTTACCATCTTTCGCGCCGGGTCTTTTGCAAGGTGATATACTCGAGTATAACCTGTAACCTTACCTCTTCTTTTCACAATGTCGATTTATAGCCAATGGGTATACTTCATCGTGTAGTGATTCATTGCATACTTCTATCTCATAAGCTATAGAGACTCGAGAGGTAAGGATGAAGCTCAGCAGCTCAAGTGAGCGATAAGATACATACAGGCCTAGAATAAGTGGTACTGGGCTGGGTACGTAATGGGCTGGCACTTAAGATTGAAGCTTCTTCTGCTATACTCGCACCATTGAATAACTTGTCATCATCATCTCTCCCAGAGCTTCAAAGTACAAGTGCTTCCTTGAATGCTAGGTACTAAGTACTACCTACCTGGTTTACGTGTGTCTATGTTGCCCGGGAATTGCCTGCATCGCGAGAAGTTGTCGCAAACGAATCTTCAAATTTATCCTACCCCGCATTCCATTCCGCACCCAGCTTTTGAAGCTTACAGTATCACGAATTTGGGTTTGTTGAAAAAGAATATTTAAAAGCTTTGGACTAGAGAGGATATTTCGTACAAAGAGCAGGCCTCGGGTGTATATAGGAATTCGTATGACGACAATTGTTTCAGTTAGGATCTTTGTTTAAGAGGCTGTTGATACTAAAATTAAGAAGTGCTGAAAGACGAAGACATCTCCTCGAAGCTACATTATCGTCAAGACATTAGAGACAAAAACTTTGTTATACTTAGTCAAAATTGGATTTTCAAGATCAATTAGCACATTGAAGCTTCGCTACATGCCCCCACGTTCAATCCCACTATCAGAATGGCAATGTCGGCTACTCTGTTTCTACTCTCCTTGACCTCACTCGTCAACGCTCAATCAAACACTGTACCCATAACTTGGTCTTCAATTGTTTATACATATCATGGGGAGATCACACCTACTCTTGTCAACGCTACTCCTCCTGTTCTCACACCCCTCGGGGCTAGTCAACTTTACAATTCGGGATCCATTATACGCGATCGTTACTTGAATTCTTCCGCGACTGAGCTTACTCTTGGGCTGCCAATTAATGACCTAAGTGATCAATATATCATCAACAATCAATTACAAGTATGGAGTACGAGTGGCGAGTATATGATTGGAAGTGTCCAGGCTTTTATGCAAGGACTGTATCCTCCTGTGCCGGGGGAGTAGGTCAGGGAGGGAATGGGGTACGTTTCACCCTTTTCAATCTCTCATTCTTTTTCCCTCTACCTCTAGCTCTTTTTGTGTTACTAGATTATCTTTGAACAATTACTAAATTCTCAACCTTTTCGAGAATAGATTTTAGCCAACGGTTCCATCATGAACTATCCTCTAGGTGGTTATCAATATCCTAATGTCAACTCGCTAAGTGACATGGATTATAAATATATTTGGTAGAACCTCTCTCCTCTTCTTTTCGACATGCTTCTTCGGCCTTTTCAAAATACCCGCTGACCCCTCAAGGATTGCAGGAAATGATCAATTTTCATCCTACGATATCGCAACCAAATTCACAGAGACATCCCCAAATGCAACCTCCCTGATGACTAGCACTCAAGACTTTTACCTCTCTCTTGCAAATACGTTTTTCTCTGGCATTGATAGCTCTATGCTTAACTACGGAAACGCAATTGATCTTTACTACTACGCACTTTACCAATATAATCATAACATTTCTATCTTCAGCATGACCAACGCCTTCGGTCTTCTTCAAACTCTCAATGAATTTGCGTCAGAACAAGCTGTATCTTTCAATACACCTAGCGCGACTTCCAACATCCAATCTATATCCGGCCAGACCTTCGGATCCAAGATGATTCAACAATTTCAACAGACTATCTCGAGTTCCGGTGTTAGCGATAAGCTATCTCTTTACTTTGGATCCTATGAGCCAATGCTAGCATTTTTTCACCTCTCATCGCTCTCAACCTCGGATCGTACACGAAGGCGCTTTTCTATGCTGCCAGACTATGGAAGTATGATGGCCGTGGAGTTATTTAGTTACGTTGAAGAAGGACAGTACGATTCATCCCTTCCTTTCCCTGACGCTACTGAGCTATGGGTAAGATTCTTATTTCGCAATGGAACATCGGATACCGACCCTTTGATATCCTACCCCCTTTTCAACCTCGGCAATTCGGAAATCGATATGAAGTACAATGATTTTGTTACGGAAATTGGGAAGTTCGCCTTGAATGATTTGAGCGACTGGTGCCGTGCATGCGCCTCGATTTCTCTATTTTGCGAAGCCATTCTTAGTAACGAATCTTCCAGCTCAGGTTCAAAGAAAAGCACAACACTACATTCAAAGCAGGTCAACGGTGTAGTAGGTGGAATTATTGGGGCGATTGTCACATTGGTAGTTGTGACAATCATCGCATCAGCTCTTGCGCTTCTTGGCTTCAGAATGCAATACCGATACCGCGAGAAGAAAACGCCAAACTCCGCGGGAGGTGTGGGTACCTTAAAAAGGAGCTCGCGATCAAGTGGTGGAGGAGGAGGATTCAAAGGTCCCGAGAAACTTGCTTCAGATGCGGATCTCGATATAGTCGAGGGATCTGGATCTGGATCTAAATTTGGTGCAACAGCCAGGCACGAGAGAGTTGGGAGTTGGGAGATGGGCGATGCACTTGCCGGTGGGAAGAATAATGGCACAAGCCTAAACAAAAGATCTGAAGGAGAAATGGGAGGGGATTTTTATTTGGGACGGGAAAGTGTAGTAAGAAGTACCGCGGATTATAGTAGGAGAAGCGAAGATGGAATCGGAGGTCATGATCCTTGGGGAAAAGGTGTGCAGAGTGAGGACTACGTTTGATCTCCGATAATCGTTCATTTTTTTACGCAGTTATGTTTTGGTTTTGTGTTCTGTTCATTTCATTTTGGGGGGGGGGGGGGGATTCATGGTGTGTTTGTGGAGTCTTAATTGAAGATAGATAGTGGGGTTGATACTGTAGTGGCGATAGATAGATAGATGATTAGATGACTGTGCTATTATGGCAGATCGAGTAATCGGGCATGTGATTCCCGATAGTCTGGGACATGCGAGATGATAAATTAGGTCGATACCCCTCCCTCTCTTTCGTACTCTCTCTTAAGAATCTTATGCTCATTTTTTTCCTACGTATATGGAGCTCGGGTCAGGGATTTCAAATGAAGGTCATGTCCAAGTATCATGTCATTTATTAAAATCAGTCCCTTTCTACTGCACCTTGGTCATTTTCCGTGAAGATATGCCATTCGGCTCAGTATACAAATTACTTCTGAGGCGGATTCATCCAATGAGATTTCGTAATCACTGGCTGCTTCGAAGCTTGGAAGGCATCGATAAGTCTACTCTGAGACTCGACACAAATTACAATTAAAATCCTAATGAAGTCCCACGCACTTCTCATTCTTCTCTGCCGTGTACTTGCAAGAAGTCCGCAAGCTTGCTATCTCGAACCAAATTTATTTCCCACCGGAGGTTATATTATATGGTCTTCCCTCTCGCCAAGTACTCTGTATAATATGTACAAACACTTGTGGAGATGGAACTCTCCACTCAGAGTAGTATCATATCACCAGTGTTGCTATATAGATTGTTTCGAATTCTGTAACATTGTTCGTTTCCGTTACATTGTGACAGGGATGATGATACTGGTCTAATTACAACTACAACTTTCGCAAGTTTTTTGGATATTTTGAGAGATTAGGCTAAAACACATCCTCGTCTTTCGACTTAATAATTCTATCTAGATGTCTAGTGAATGTACCGTTAAGGTGATACACTGTTGCTCATGAGGTGCTCCTGGTAAGTTTATTCCAAGCTGATTCTCTTGGTTATCATAAACGATGGGTGCGGATGGGATTTGAAAGTGCTGGCAAAGGAAAACAATATTCGGCCAGAGAAATCAGTCAATTCATAAGCTTTTCGAGATTTAACTACAACAACCAATACATCTAGACCGTAGGTAAATGTTTTCAACCATACATAGCCTAGCATCTGGCTTCATGTTGATCTTCTTACAAAAGCATCAAGCTCATAGGATGTGATAAGATGCTGGATATAAATTACTATTCCGACGTGAGATTTACATCTCGAAGTTTTTTGTACATCGCATATGATTATAGTCCTCGCATTGGCTCGCCCTCAAGCTTCAACGCATACCGAAAGCAACGACTATACAAAATATATCGCAGAAGTTATCATAGCACAGTTCCATTACAAGGATCTAATATTAATGGCTAGTGAAGATGTATGTATACTTCGGGAACAAACACAAAGTATCACCACTGGTTGTACTCGAGTATGAATGGAATAGAACTTCAGATGTTCTTTGCAGACCAAAGAATGTGATTCACGTCGTCGGAGTAGTTTGTTGTTTGGATGATTCTCATATCATGTGAGTCCTTTTCTTGTGAGTATGTAAAATGCAGATGACACTTTGATTGGAGAGAACGATAGAGTCTTGAGACATGAAATATATTGCGATCTGATTAGATAATCTATCTTATAGTCAGGATCTTGATGAAGTGGCTAACTGGTAGCCATTGGTTTAGAATATCACTTGTCAAGAGGAGGTCGTGCCGTCATGGCCAGCAATCTTAAGACTATCTGCAGGAGCACTAATAACCAAAGTAGGCTTTGAGTTGTAAAGCTTAGTTCATTTGTTGTTTCGTAACTGGGTAGATGCCAGTTTGAATTAGAGTGTGACATTCAGCCATCTGTCTAATACTTTTGATCAGTTTGAAATTACTTACCAAGCCACGGACGCATGCTTCAAAATAGCCTCTTAAATCCTGATTCCTAAGCCACATTTCTAGTCCTCATCGCAATATATAAAGGGTCTCCAATTGACATATTGGCATTGGAAACTTTACTAAACAGATAATATATAAATTGACAGTTAATTCGCAGCCCTAAGGAATATTGATCGCTAAATAGAATAGTCGACTTCATCTCAGAGGATCGTACTGAGTATCAATGTCTAATATCGGAGTGTGTGTCTAACGATGGCGCAGCGCATATAAAGCATCAAGGATTGAGGGATGCTGAGATGGCCTTTCAATTTCATATCTTCCACCTCAAAGTAGAACAATGAGTAATTATATACAGAACTCGGTATTATTCAACTTTTGATAACATAACAGACGTTCGTTCTAGACAGCTAAAACGCAATATGCATCCCAATTGAGATCGAAAAGTGAAAAGAATGATAGCCGAAACCCATATGATATAAATTATATATTGGCCAGGCTTCACACATATCATATCATATCTCTGTCTTTGTACAACCGGAATACTCGAATATAAGGCTTGAATTGTTTTGAAATACGGGACAGGCGCGTTTAGAATTAACAAGACTTACATCTCTTGCACCATAAGAAATGATGAACCCAACAGCAATTGGATCTATGTAAGATATGAATTATCTGAGTTTCAGAGAAGTCAATACTAAGTCAACTACCCCACTTTTCGGCCACCCCCCCTTTTCGGCCACCCTTAAAACCCACACCGCCTCAGCAACCTACCTTCTTAAATATTTTCTGATTAAACAACCATTCAATCAATTGATTTCAAATTTTGATTTACTATTATTTATATAATATCGAAATTCTATATTGAAGACGATATTGCTACAGTTTTAAATACTATCATAAATAATGTTTCAATACAAAAAGCTGCTCTAGAATATGGGATTCCTTGTATTACACTTTAGAATTATATTAATAGTTGTGTATCCTATCAAAAAGGTTCCGAAATGATACAAAAGATTGCTCTGATTCAGGAGAGACATTTAATAGAATAGATCTTAATACAAAAGAGCTTGGATATTAATTCTATTCATCAGTAAATTCGAGAAATTATTAAATATCTCCTTAATATAAAAGAACTCGATTCTACCTTTAAAAAACGATGAATATACAATTTTTTGGAAAGGAATCCAGAGATTAGAATTAAAAAATAATATAGAATCGATTCTATCCGAGTTTCGGATGTTTTCTATAATATTATTATGCTATGATTTCGAAAACTCGAATTATCCAAGATTATTGATATAAAACCACAAAATCGATATAATATAGACGAGGCTGATATGATAGAAGATTAGGGTCTTAATGACCTAGTAGTAGAAAGCTTTCAATATTATTATATTCAAAAAAAAAACAATCTGGTTCAAGAGTTTGGATATCTTTTATCAAATGTATTTCGGTAATAGAAAAGATTTTCAAATCATTTATTATTTTCAAAAGGAAAACTGTTTAATAATAATAATTTCCTATTGATCTTGATTTTTATAAGGATTAGAACTTTGTTATTACAGAAAATAAATGGATTATTAATACTACAGGGTTAAAATGATTAGAAAAAGTATTTATATCTCAAACTATTTTTTCTGAATTCAATAATATATGATTATTTATATTGGATAAATATAGAAATTATGAAACTATACTCTTTATATACAAATGTTTTGAATATAATATATATCTTTTATTTCTATTATTATATATATCCCGCATTCTATAATCATTAGATTTATTAATCTTTTCATTTCTAAAAAATGTCTATTGACATATATTCAATAATTTGAATTCTCTTTCTGATTCTATACCAATTGGAAAGCATAACTTTCTTTATTATTACCAGAAGGCTAGAGCAAAAGCTCTAATAATCCATAATATTAAAGTGGGATAGAAAACATCAGGTTTATAGTCCAAAAATCTATACTAAACTTTTTATAAATTGACTATTATTTGAAAACAGCAACCAAAAGGTTTTATTGATTAATCCAGTATCTAATAATAATCCCCAGTTTTAATGAAATATAGACACATTAATTATTGTTTGGAAACCCTCTCAAAAAGCATCTGATTTTTGATTATATATATTGATTATAACCCAAGTAAAAAGAGCCTGATTTGCTAATGAGATAAGTTGCTTTTTCGAAAAG